GAAGAATGGAGCTGCACCACCCAGACACACAGTGGGACTGCCCACACTGGGGCATGCTTGAACACATCTCAGCATGAGCATCAGGAACCAAGGGCCCCTGCAACTTATTCCACTTGGCCTTGCTACCAGCTCCCCACCCATCCAAGGGTTTTCAAAAGGGGAAACTGAGGAAAGCACTGAAGGAACAGCCCAGGCTACCATGGTTAATGGTCTGGCTCCTTTCACAAAGACCACAGGCTCTTTAGTCCTTTCTAATCACATCTGCATGGCATCGCAGCTTCTGCCATCAGCCCTTGTCCATCCTAGCCAGCCAAAACCGGAGCATGGAGCACCAGCGCTCCAACTTTCTTCTTTTAGCAGCTCTTTCATGCAGACTTCCCACCCTGTGATTGCTTTAGCTTAACGCAACCTGAAACAAGACCAGGCAGGAGCCCCACTAGCAGCTGTGGAGAGCCGCTGTCCCAGCCACAGCCGAGTCACGGTGCAACCCACTTTTCCTCCGTCTGCAGAGCTTCGGTCGTAATGACCACACGGATGTAGTAGGACCCATCTGAGATCTGCAGGACAGCATCTTGGAGGACCCCAGGTTGGCCTGGAGCAGTTGAGTCACTCAAAACCTATCAAGAGATTGGGGAAGGGAAAAACGAAACCTCATTTACAGACCTTCCCATGAACAAGGACAGGACACCACGTCTGGCTGAAAGCCTGGAGAAAAGGTCACTATTCACCATGAAACGTGACACTTATCCCAAGGTGGAGGCACAGGCATATACCAGACCCCTCGCAGCTGGACCGTGCAGGCTCCACACCAAGACAAAATAAGTGACAATGCCACATTGTGTGAGATCAATCGAAGGCAAGATGGGAGAGAAGCCACAGTCAAGCATTGTATACCCAAACCAGCAGTGGGAATCCAGACATAAGAGGTCTGGGCAGGCCTGGGACATGTGCTCCTCTGCAAAGCAGAAGGAGACAGAGAGCAGCAGGATCATCACAGCCATTCCTTTCTTCTGAATGAAGCTCCTGATGTAGCAACCCTGAGCCTCTACTAAGCCATGTCCACACTGGGTTAAAACAATCCCTGAGGGAAGCAGTAAACTGCTCCTCCAAGTCTCACACCTGCCTGCTCCGTGGGCTGGGAGCTGTGGATCAGTCCTGGCCTGTCCTAATCCCTGCAGCCCTGGGCTAGGATCTCCTGGTACACACCTACAGTTTGGTCACATACGTCATGTAGGATGTTCACCTCACTGGTGGTGCTGGGACACAACAGCAGAAGAGGGAATGTGAAATCACATGTCCCACTGTGCACAAAAGCCACTTGCATCTGACACTGGGTGCACCCATGTTCTTTAGTAGGTGCCCACCATGCTAAACAGACCAGTTGCTGTCAGCTGAGATCTTCTGAGAAGAAGAACTGCAAATCCCACTGCACAAAGTCCCTGCAGAAGCCAACCAGGCTCGCTGCTGGGTTTAAGGATGTCCATGCCACCAGGATCCTGCTCCCATTGGTATCTCTGCTCAGTCACCCAGCAGTTGCCCGTGGGTTGTGCACCCTCACCCTGGTGGGAGCCCAGTGTGCAGGTGGCCCAGTCTCACCATCTGGCCACTCACTATGGGCAACTCCTGATACCCAGCAGAGGCAGGGTGGCTTAGTGCATACTCCAAGGGAGTGCTGGTACCAGCAGCAGGCAGGGCTGTTCACAGGACTGGGTAAAAAAACAAGATTAAAAAAGAGGGTAGGTTTGGAAGCTACAGATCTGAAACAGATAGAGAAGGCAGGCAGAGCTGGAGCCCAAAGTAAGCAGGAGAAAGGCTCTGTGGCTCAAGATAAGCTCCCACCCTTCATTCATTGGGTTGGTTGGAGAGCAGTCACACTGAGGGAACTCTTCTCCACCAATCCCTCAAGGCCTAGGAGGGATCCACTCAATCACTGCTGGGTCTTTATCAGCTCAGGCGCAAGAGATCTCCTGCCTGGGAGAGGGGACTGGGCTAAGAAGTAGGGAATCAGTGATTTCACCACCTCTGTGTCTTCAGACAGAACCATGGGGTCTTCTATCTTGCTGTCTTTCTTTTTTGTCTCCTCACCTCAACTCTCCTTCCATTTAAATTACAACATCCATCTTCCTCCTTCCTTCTCCTGGTAGTAAGGAGACACCTGACGCGCCTCAAACATCTAATCCACAAAAGAAATTAGGAGATTGCTAACAATAACACTGCCCATGATGGGGTGCTGCTACAAACACCAAAAGGCTGTGAGAGAACAGCAAACCAGAGCACTGGAGCTGGGTCACGACCACATCCAGGTCACGACCACAGCCCATTGCAAGGTAGGAACCACACACCCTGCCCGTGCATGTCTCACATTTGTATGTGCACCCGTTTGTCTCATAGCACCTTCATCTGGTCCCTCCAAATCCATAGCTAATGATCAGCAGCACTGACTCTGCTCAGTTGTTTTCCTCCTGCTTCCTTCCCACTGACCATCAGGCCTCACACAGGGCAGAGTCCCCTGACTAAAGCTCTCTCCTGCCACATAGGATAGATCAAACATCAAAAACATCACCAGCACTGCACAAAAGGCTCTCCAGGAACTACACAAGAGCAGGTTTTGTGCCTCAGAGCCCCATGTCCTGACTGCCATGCAAGAAGCTCTCCCAGAAGAGCCAGCATCCGCGGGAGGACAACCTTGTGGTCCCACCAAGGCTCACCAGCAGACATCTCAGCAGGTCTTCTGCCTCATGCTACCCACTGTCAGGGCCACCTATCAACTAGTGTGGTACAGGAAGGACGGGATGCAAAGAGGAGAAGGAGGAGGAAGGCAAGGCAGCCTGAAAGTGCAAGGCAAGGAGAGGAGATAATCTTGGAGACCACAAGCTCTTTGGATGAAAGCAGGACACACATACCAGAGTTGCAAAAGTCAGCAAAAGCTGCCAGAAATTGGCAAAGCAAAGCTGCTTCACCTCAAAATCCACAATAATTGGAGACTTTGAGGAAGAAGGGTCACCCACTCCCAGCCACTGAATTGGGAACTGCTGAATGCTTCCAGAAATTCAGATTTAGGACGCTGTTGGTGCACTGTAGGACAGTCCCCCTCAGTACGTACCCGCAGGACCTGCCCGGCCAGGAGATCCTCATTGGCATCCAGCTGCTCGTAATTCACCAAGAGGTTTGCAACCCAAGGCTGCAAGACATAGACTTTAGGAGAAGCCATGATTTTGTTCTCGTACACAAACCTACAGGAGGAGACAAGGCACCACATCAAAAGAAGAGGACGCTACAAAGCTCTGCCATCCCAGGAAGTGTTTCACCGCCCCATCCACAGCCCAAATCCTCTCACTTCTCTGCAAGGACACCCATCCTCGAGGAGCTGTGCCGAGGAAGAGGAGGCTCCTGCAGCATCCAACTACTGCCACGGAGGGGACATCAGCAGCGCCCGGAGCTACGTGCAGGCCAGGTGAGGCTTTTTGCAAGTCTTCCACTCCAGTTCAGGATATTTTTCCCCCCAATAATTATTTTCCTGCGCCCTGGACTTAACCATCGCTCTATTAACTGCAAAAGGGTGCAGGGGAATGCAGGGGCTTGGGGATAGCCAGAGCCGCCATGCCTCACCTCCCCCCCGGG